GTGCGGGTTCGGGTGACCCAGCGCACGTCGAGTATGGCTTCCACCTCGTACTCCCCGGAGCCTTCATCAGGCTCCCAACTATCTTCACGGATCAATGCAGCGTCGAAGTCATCGTCCTCGGGGATGTCTATGGTTCCCGAATGCCGCTCCGGGTATTTCGCTCGGGGTTTCAACCTGCTAACGTGGACCCAGGGGTGAAACCGGTATTCCGTACCCTCGACCTGGAGGCGGTATCGGAAATCGCTACCTTTTTCCCGGATCCGGAACGGGCCGTGCCAGAGATGTGCGAGCTTCTTGGTGAGTCCGGGGCGGACTCGGGCTAGGTACAGCCATACTGGATCCCCGACCTCGAAGCCTTCTTTCAGTCGGTCTGTAAGTTGCTTCCACTTGCGGTTGTGGTCCTCGGCCCGGCGCTTCTTGGCTTTCTCTTTGAGGTCTCGGGCCCAGGCCCTCGCGTATTCCACTTGGCGTTGTACCTTGGTGCACCATTCTTGGGCGTCCCGGAGCTGCACGTCTCGGGGGACGTCTCCCATCATGGCTTCGACGGTACCTTGGGCATCCCAACCATACACCAGATAAAACGGCGTGTCGAGTCGGGTGAAGACGAAGGAGGTGTTCAGCGCCCACATGAGCTTTTCGGCTAGTTCATCCCAGTCCCTTTGGTCCACAGTCTACACATGCGCCTTAACGCTCCGGATTACCGTTTGCACAGACCTCTCTTGTTGTCCGTTGGCCTGGGGACGATATCTTAGAGTGGCGCGTTGCCTGCTCCCGAGCTTCTCCCGAAAGTGCTTGAACACCCGACCCATGAAGCGCGGATCTCGATCATGGCGGATCATCTCACTGGCCCCGAACCTCCGGAACACGCACTCCTCATAGGCTTCGGACACGTCTTGGGCTTCGGTGCTCGCCATGGCCTTGCACATGATGAACCCCGAGAACGCGCCCTCAAACAGGAGCAATGCCGTATTTCCCCGGGCGGACTGGGGCAGCGGTATCACGAAGTCCATGGAAACGACCTGAAACCGTCGCGTAGCCAACAGGTTACCGGGCGACGGTCCCGGGTTCCGGGGTAGTACCTTGGCCGTGACGCAGTCAACGCATTCTTTGACATATCGCTCGGTGTCCTTGAACATGCCGATCCAGTAGAACTCCTTGCGCAGCCTCTCGTAGGAGGTCCGGATGATCCCCTGATGAGCGCCTTGGAAGTTCGCGTGACAGTGGTGCAGGATGTCTTCCTGGAGGTCCTGGAGGACTATCAGGCGGAGGCGGTCTGCGGCGTCTCGGGGACGTTCCGGGGTGCTCCGAATCTCATAGAACAGGGCATCCAGGGGGTCCAATACAAACCGGTCCGCTATCTTGACCAAGTATGTAGTTTGTTTCAGGGACAAGTGTTCAGTCTCACCCCGGAGGAACTTTACCAAAGGCGCTAGCCCCAGGTCGTGTGCCTGGTGAGAGCAAATCCTTCTCCATCGTTCTCTGCGAACATTTTCCGGGTCTTCCTCAAAGTCCTGGCAATTGGGGCTCCGGGGAGCGGCTGTCGGCTCGTCCTCCGGACCGTCGGTTCCGAGGTCATTGGTTCCGGGGTCGTCGGTTCCAGAGTCGTTGGTTCCAGAGTCGTCGATCCCGGTTCCCGTAACCGACTTCTCTGTGGCCTTGACCTGTTTGGACTTCGAGCGCGTTACCGCGAACACGTCGCCTCCTAAACCTCTTGAGTAGCACTTGGGTATATTCCGAGCTATGGCTAAGAACGCGCACTCCATCAGCGACTGTTCACGGGGGCTCGGGTCCTTCATCAGTTTTTCGTGGATCCGATTCAGGCCTTGGAGCAACTTGCGTTCCCCGGGGTCCGCGACCTCCAATGATGACTGGTCCTGGATGACTCGCTTGGAGATGTAGTCGGCAGCAGCGTTGAAATCTCTTTTCACGTGCACGAGGCATAAAGACTTGAATCTAGTTTGGAGCCATTAAACCTCCTGAAGTAACCTCAACAGGTGGGGTTGGGTACAGCTATGACGCCCTGGAGCTGCTGTATTGCGAGTCGAGAGTCCACGACCACAACAAGTTCCTGGACCCCCAGGTCTAGAGCGAGTTGCATGCCCTTGACTAATCCAGAGTATTCGGCCTCATTCACGGTAGCTTTCTCCAGAAAGTGTCCCATGCCCGCGACGATTTCCCAACTCGGAAGCCCCAGAGGATGCAGGCAGCGCCTCCCGACCCATCTCTCTTGGCGGCTCCGTCGAAGGTCAACAGGTGCCCGATATGGTCACTAGAGAGCATCTCCAGGCTGACTGGCGGTGTCTTGATCCGGGAACCCATTTCCGGAACCAGGGTCTCGGCGACCTCGTCGAGGCGTTCCCGGGGGGGTCATACCTGCTACCAGGATCGCTACCAAGCCATCTTCGTCGTTCTCAACTCGTCGAATGTCGAGATCCCAGGGGGACAGATTGACCGCCCACTTGAGGCATCTTCAGTCCACAGTCTTGGACTTGAACAGCCATGACAGCACCGAGTACCGGGTGTACACACGGATTTTCTTCTCGGAACAGCTGGTAATCATCGTGTGGCATGTGTTCAGGACGCGGAGCAGTGCTAAACCTCTTTTTCGGCGGGATGGTACCGAAGATCGCGTCTTGGAGAACCCGCCCCACGAACTGCACATGTAGTATGGTGCCGTCGTGATCCTGCCCCAAAACCGCGATGATGGCCCAGGGGTTGGCATGCAATATTATTACATACTGCCTCCCGGGGTCGGGGTGCTGGAGCAGTGGCGTCGACACTAGCCGGTCCTTGAGTATCTTGAACGCATGCTTGGGCTTCTCCAAATCTCGTCCGGAACGGAGTTGCTCGTCCGATGCTTCGTAGAAAATGACCGTGAGTATGGGTAGGTCCTCGATGAACTTGGCGTAGTAATTGAGGCTTCCGAGGAAGGACTGTACTCCTTTCTGGGTCTTCGGGAACGGCAAGTTGAGAACCTTTTCCGCTAGCTTCGGGGACGTCGGGAATCCGTCCGAGCTGATTTCGTGCCCGAGGTACTTGCATTTCTTGACCCCGAACTCACTCTTTGGGAGGCTCACCGAAATGTTCCAGTACCGCAGTCGGTACAGGAGGGCATTCAGTGTTTTGCACAGGTCATCCCAGGACGGAGCTCCGTAGATAATGTCGTCAATGTACGAACTCCGGGACAGCACAGGCCCCATCTGTTCCGGGGCAACCCGGTTCTGGTGGAACACGGTGTCAGTGCTGGTCCTGGAGACCACCGCCCCCCGCGGCTCCGTGCCCTGCGATACGGGGCGTCCGAGTCCTCGGGAGAAATCCCCAAGAACTATAACACCTCCGGGTCGACAAGCCGTTCCTTTTCCGTACGAAACCCCAGAGACAGTTGTCCAGGAGCTGTTGGTAAATCAACGG